TAGTGAATTTAGTAGAATCTGAAATAGAATTTATATGTTTGAGGTATCCCGACCAAAATGGACTGGATGGTTTAAGAATTTCGTTGGTTTACTTTCTTGAGAATGACAATGTGTCACCCCACATATCTATGCTAAATTCTCTGAGTTGGCATTGGACACTTTTTAAAGCTCTTTCTTCGAAAGCTTTCATTTAGAGATAGGCCAGAATGGAGATGCTGGTGAACCTAGTGCAAATCCATTTGACTGACGGTACATTCTATCTCTAAACATGAAATATGTAGATTCTAAGCAAAGCTTCAGCGATTTTATAATATTCTCTGTTGAAAGTGGACATTCAGATATTATATCTTGGTTATTATTAGTATCAGTTCTTACAATATCTAGACATTCCCAAATTGGTATACTAGTAAAAAGAGAAATTGCATCATAACCTGCCATAATTTCATCCTCTCCTATGATCAATTCACTAGTTTATTTTTGAAACCCTATGCGTTTTTAATATCTGAAGACATATCATACTGGAATGGTTTCAGAATTCTTGGTAAATATTTAGATACATGATAGGTTATCGAATTTGTAAAGCCAAGAATTAGTCTAGGGGTAATATCAGTTTTTAGATGTTTGGTGTACTGTAGAATCTAGTGGGTGTGTTCGTCCTAGGAGCTAGTGAAAACCATGTTGCGTTTCCAAGGTTGAGTTTCGTTTCCCTCAGTAATTTACATGTTTCACTTTTCATCTTATTTAGTGTGCTTAAATGTTTATTATCAATCGCATATTTACCAGTAGGCATCATATATATGATCTTTACTCATTGTTTGTTACTCTGTTTGTTCAATGTAATGTTCCATTAGTTCTGTTATGGTAGTATTGTTCCAGTCGATGTTATATTTCTCATCCCATGCATGAGCTGCTATCGACTAACCTTTTTTCCAATTTTTTGCATTTTTGTCCCCCTATGGGCGACGTTTGGTTTATTTTTGATATTCTTTAAGTCTGGTTTTCAACGATCTTGATATTTGTCCTAAATAGCTCATTGGGGAGTCTGCACACATTATTTTTATACACGACATTGTTCTTGTCCAATTTTTTAACGAAATCAATCAAATTCATTGGTTTAAATGCTGTGAAAATAGCAGCCTTTCTAAGGTTTCTTCTAATTGCTTCTGACGTACCTTTTTGTTTGGTAATACCACTGTCTTCGTGTAGTTATTTTTCTTAATAACTAACTCCTTGTTGTTGACTTCTTCTTCTTGATGTTATCTTTTATGAAGTGCTCTGGGTATTGATTCTTTAACAACATCTTTAATAAGATATTCCTTTCTTTTCGTTGGTCATCAGCGTCTATCTATCGGACCCTGTATTAACCCTCGTTTTACTGTGGTTGCATTGGCTGAGTGATAGTTCAGAAACCTTTCAGAATGCGTTAAGTTTCTACATAGTGTTGTTTTTAAAATGCCTTCTACTGTTCAGAATCCATATTTGTACATGTCACCCCTAACAAACGTGAATCAACACAACTGTCAACCATGCGGAACATTATATTGAACAAACAGAGTAACAAACAATGAGTAAGGATCATATATAGGATGCCTACTGGTAAATGTGTGAATAAATATTGCTAAAATATTCCAACTGTTGCTGTGATCATGGGCAGTGATTTTGTTCGAGATATTACCAAAATAAAAACTTATAATTGTGTTTAATGTAAACTTTGCATTAAAAATTTACCTATAATGCACTTCTCTAATAATTTTTTGTAGTTTAAGGTATGAATTTTGTCAGTTGTCTCAATGTTGAACTGGCCACCACCATTCAGTAGAAAACCTAATAGATTTCTCTCAGTTATTTACAGTTGATTGGGGATTCAATTTTATTGATTGGAGTGCACAAAATCCCTATGTTACACGGCCGTTAAGCTCTAAATGCGATTTCACTATGATAATCGAGTGATCATAAAAATATTTCAAGCATATTTTTCATGAGAGTAACACGATATCAAATAATAAGCGTTGTTTCCCTGTGTTTTTGAATTCATCTTCAACACTTTGTTGAGTATATTGCTTTACAACGATTTGTATATTTTATTATAGTTAAAAGACGATCGTCAGGTTGCCAGTTTTCTTCTAGAATTCCAACAGATTCTCATGGTCTTGATGATTCTAGAGAAAAATGGTTAACTAGCTGCCGACCTGTACCATTTCGCCTCACTCCAAATTTAGCTGGTCTTGTATGTTTACCTGGAGCTCCAGCGACAGTTGGTCCTTTGGCAGCCAGTTTTACTACAGCTGCCCAAGCCTTGATGTCTGCACAACGTGATCATACTTTAACCAGTCTTTATCGAACTTTTTTGCGCCGTGACTACATTCTATGGCATCGAGGAAGGCAGTCCACTGTTTATGCTTATCAATTACTTATGAGTGAACAGATTCTAAATGAACAAGATGAAGTGAAACTACAAAATCCTAATGAATCTCCTATGGAAACCGGTAGACCTCTTTCAGGTTCTGGAGAAGATGAATCTTCACCATTCAGTAGCTGTGCACCGGCTCTTGTACCTGAATTGACCAATGAACAGTTGATCAATCTAATTAATCTTACAATGGATTCCATGAACAGTAAACTAAAAGGTAATCTTATGTAGTCTTTAGATTATAATGATGTCCGTTTATCGCTTATCTTACCTGATTTATTTACACTGTCTCCAGCTTCCCAGTGATAGTTGAACACATTACTCACATATAAATTAGGCATTCTAACAAGATAAATGATACAAATGGATTAATCGCCATGGGACCCTGCATTAAATTACATCAGTTTAACTTATCATCATTTGCGACACTGTCAAACATGAAACTTGAGTAGTACTACGCTGTTCTGAATTTTCACACATGTGGATCATCGAAAATAGTGTATCTGTAACGCAAGTTGTACACCTTCCAGTAGGAGTGTTCACTCTTCTCTATCTTGACTGCCTATCTTATGCTTAAGTTTTATTTCCAGGGTTACTTGCTAAGATGATCTAAAGTTCGAGAACATCATTCCAATTTAAAGGGGAAAAGATGTGATAACGAAAGGAATGAAATAATAAAGCTGATCTCATACCTAAAACTGTACTACTGTTTGTGCTTTTCAGCAACATCAAATGACTTTTTTTTAATGTTCATTGTAATTTTCGATATACATTATCATCAGCAACATATGACCAAGAGTTACTGCATAAGGGTCCAAGTTGCCACATGTCATGTCCATTTACATACTTCCTACATATATTATCATAATCATAATGAAATTATCTTTGGCTGTACGTCTATGTGAACGCTTTTCGTGGTTTATTCTTGATTAGCCGTTTGTTAAAAGGTGTCGTGTAGTTTGTATATTTTGTTGCTATGCTCCATTCAGGTACAGTACATTTTCTAATGTTGTTGCTTGTATTATCTCGTCGTTGAGTGGACCGAATTGATCGGTCTCTATTGGCATATGGGCTCCTGTGTGGATGCCTAGTGGGAACAACATCGCTCACTGGAAGGCGGATACATCCAACTGAAAAGTCCCAAGTACGACGAAACGCGCTTCCTTGACTCCATTGCTAGCCACTACCCATCTTTAATAGTGCAGTTCCTGTTTTCCATAGTTTGCAAGCATTTCACATTTTTATAGATGCATTCAGTTTATCTTCTTGACTATTATCTGGTCGTTTATTATCATTACAAACTTACCAACTTGACGAAAATGAGATTTTTGTTGACATATCTCCAACTCTTATCTTGCGGGGATGACTTGGGCAAAAACCTTAGTCTTCCTTCAACTGATGTTAGTCCATGATGAATACCAACTTGAAATCATAAAAATGTGTTTGGTAATTCATAAGTTCCCGCTATTCGCATGAGTGCAGCTGGTAAACCTCAGATAGGATTAAATCCTTGTTGTGTATCTTAGTTTGTCAACGGCATCCCCTGGTATTATTATGAGATTTAGATAAAATTAAGGTGTTCAAACTAGTGATGCCTGCTATCCAGATAACGACCGCATCAATTTGCAATGATGTTCTGAAATTGATTCTAAATAACTGGAATTCGGATCGTGGAGAATAATTTTTCATAATGTTTCATGTACAGTTTTCTCGCAAGATCCATGCTCAGTATTTTTATACTTTAACGAATCTATTTGCATCATCTGTGGATAAACCCATAAACTACGGCGTAGGTTTTACCATAGATGCAAAGTTGATACGAATTTCATTGGATTCAGCAATTATTACTATTACCCCTGTTAGTTTTTTTCGTACTAAACTAATTGTTTTGCTTTTTAGTTGCCTCAGACTACTCAGGAACTGAACCGAAATCCTGGAAACTTATTGATGAAGCCACAAGACCTACAAATATGATCCATATGAGTCCAAACTTATTACCTTGGTTATAATGACTATGCTATTTGTGATTTCATCACATTACTCACTTTTGCATTTCTTCCCCCATCCTAATTTGTTTTGTCATGAAGCCAAAATGTCTACTGTTTTGTTTCACTATTTTCTATCCTGCGAAATTTGAGATTTTCGTTAAAGGGGGAAATTTTCTGTTTTCATATTTGTTCTTTTTTGATACTACTTTTGATAGAATCTTCAGATATCCCTGTTTCTAAATTATGATTGTTAATTTTCGCTTGTTTTATTGTCTTGTATGTAAAGTTCTTTGTGTATATCCTGTTATGTGTATGTATACTTGCTGTCTACTTTTTATTATGAATAAATACTACTTACAGAAATGATAACCTTTTTTATATCTGTTTCTAATGCTAATGCAGTTCAGTTCGTTTTCATGCCTACTCGGTGTTTCACTTTGCAGAAGTTAACCAGTTCAAGAAAACAACTGACCTTTGGGGGTGGTGAAAAAGGCATTTCATACATTTTCAAATACCTACTAAACGTATCCAGGAGACTCTTCATCTTGTCTTCACCCAATAGGACTATATCATCTGCGTGCTGTAGGTTCACAAGACGTTTTCTGTGACAAGTCTCATCCTTGTAAAGTCATATGAGGAGAGGGAAACCTCCATTGGTACGTCTGTGCCGAAACTCAGTAATGAACACTTTTTAACCCACACAGTTCACTTCATCTTTCATCATAGGTTCAAACATGCTAACGGATGTTCAAATAGAGAATCGCCGAAATGGAGATGTCTTTACCTTGCTGATACCCCTAAAAGTGTACTGCTAAGAAACATATCTATCCCATGCTTTAAACAGAAATATTTTGCTAGAAGCACCAACTTGTCTCAGCACCTGAACAGATGTTGCTGCTAAATTATTATTAAGATTGTTAAGTCATATCAAATATACGTGAAGTACTCGTGTATTTGTGTGTAACCTTGTTCTCTTATGCGTGTGTCAATGATCAACAATCTCACTCAGCACCCGTCTACCATTTTTTCCTTATCGTAGTAGCTAGAATTGACTATAACGATAACCCGTTTAGGCACTGTTCGCTGAAACATTTTCTTGTTGATCTATTCAACGTCAAGGTCAGTGGAAACAAGGTAAAACAAATCAGCTTACTCTACGTCAGAGGAGAAATTAGGCCTGTTAGTTATGCCGGTACTTAAGAGCAATAGTTTGTTTCGTAGAGGTAAGGTAACCAATACCTCCAAAAGTGGTACCTTTTTATTGTCGGAAGGTATTATGGGGGTATCGATTTATACCTTCTATTCCTCGTCTTTCCCGCTGCTAACTTTACAATTGCAACCACCTCTGTAGTCTATCCTAAAACTTGAGCTCATAAAAAGGCAGTCCTCTTCTGATACAGCGCTCGAAACTACATATTGGGATACTTTGTATCCACATATTGGATCGAAATGAATGAAATATGTACTTATGTTCCAGAACCTATCGGAGGATGAATATCCTGTCGATACACCAACGACTAGGACTGAAACGTGTCAGGTTTGCTTTTCCCGAGCCTCACTTAATCATCTTATGATTACGTAACCTGGAATCTTAGACTCTACGTTCACCAAACTGATTCCTCTGTAGTCATCGTAAAGTTTTCGCTTTCTTGAAGACTAGGACAATCGGGAATGTAGAGCAGTCTGAAGGGATTATATATGGTTGCCATATGCTAACTAACACTTCAATAATCCTGGACTACCGTCCTTAAGTGCCTTAAGTATTAGCTCCTCTGTTTGTCATCCTACCGGATATTATTTGGTTAAGAAGAAGAAAACGACTAGAGGAAGTCTGTGTTATTCACGGAACTCAGGAAATAAAATCAAATTTGAGATTCATGATACTTCTTGATAGATGTCTCTGGGGCATTAGGATCTATAGTTTTCCAATCTGGAAACCACCACTTTAAGTGACCCAGTTTGTCCATTAAAAATGTTTCTAAAATTTTCGCCAATAACTCAGATCCTTTCCGAGAGAAATGTAGACCATCTGAAAGAAATGATTCCCAATTCTGAAAATAAATGGAAAAAAACTATTCTGTCAACAGAAGTTACCAGTTAATATATTTATTGAATGATGTCCATCAGTATATCTCCTTGAAAGGGTAATATCGTGTCATTTAGAGTATCAAAAGGAACATCGCTTTACGACCATTCACTGAATACAATGATACAGGATAAGAAAATTTTGATTGGAAGTTCGTCTAACGAAATTCACTATCACCTGATATGCTTCGCTATCCAACTATACTGCTTTCTTCATCATTTGATTATCTGAGATAGCCGTAGTTTGACAGACTAGTATTTATACTGGGTGATGATTGAAGGCGAAATGAAAATTTGGACCGCGGTGGTCGCTGGTTCGAATCCAACCGCAGTCCAAATTTTCATTTCACCTTCAATCATCGCCCAGCATATATACTGCTTTCTGTTTCAATCAAGCATGTTTTCTTAAGACATCAACCTTAAAGAGCTAGTCTGACTGGTTTATTAAATACCGTATAAATGCCAAGAATAAAATATCGAAGTGAACACGATCGGTCGATCTAAGCTCTTAACTGTTCTTCAAATACTCCTCATCGATCTTTCATACAGCATCATAAATCGATGTGGAACCACCATTAATAACGCCGTTGTTGGTGTGGATACATAAAATTTGTCGATACTATATGTAAAACAACTTCCAAATGCTTGATGAGGTGATTAAAGCTTTCTGCATATACAGTGTGCTACAGTAATTATACTGACGCATAGTACACTAGACAACTACTGGTCTGAGTCATGTAAGGAGATGCAGACTAACTGGTTGAGGCCCATGTGACTACAGAAACCAACGCTTAGAGCCTCTAGGCGACTTGGCTGAGAATCTATATCAGTGACGCAAGTGTACCACACATTATCTTCATCTCTACCGAATTCAGCACTTTTCTCATCCTTCTTTCCCCTCTTTTATTGCTTCTGACCGGTTTTCCTCTCTTTCTTCATCTCTCATCTTACTGCTTTGTTACTTATTGTGCTGGTATGAGATGTGGCAACTTGGAGCGTTGTACCGTAATGCTTGGTCCTATTTTAATATTAATGGACTGTCTGAGGAATGTTCTATACATGTTGTATGTTGCTTCCTTACGATATACAGTGAAAGGATTCGGCGAGAAAAAAAATCAGATTGGAAGATGTTATTTCTTTAGGCTGTATGGTCGTATTTATGTACATCACAAACAGTCTGTTGCGTAATAGGGCATAGTTGTATCATTAGTCTTCAAACTGCAATCAAGAATGGGAGAGGCTTGCGCAGCAGTCTGTCAGATAATGAAAATAACGAGAAAGGTAAGGAGTTGAGTAGAAAACTGTTGGCAGCTGTGAAATATGATGATTAAAAATCTCCACTGGATACATGTAAAGAAGGTGAAGAACGAAATAAAAGTCATAGTGGTTGTAATAGTAAACTGACTAATAATAAAGAAATCGAAAGAAAACGAAGAGGGAAAATTAAACGTATTTCTACATGCAGAGACCAAGCTTGAATTCGTGAACTGCCGATGGCTTGTGCAAAAGCACACCTTTTGAGGTGTTACGACTGATTCTCGATGACATTGAAAGGGGACTCTGTTAGAGATACGTGCGAATAGCTGACTGAATGTTCGATAGTTGAAACACTAATCGATTCGCATTCTCTGCTCGACAAGCATGCATGATAGTGTTCCGTGATGCATTTGGAATGTACGCACTTTGTGCGGCCTATACAACTAGCTCCATAGGGTCAATGAAATTTGTAGGCATACGTTGAAGCATCAGTTTGTTTTTAACATACCCTGGGATCATTTACCGACTAGACAGACTGATTTGTAGCTTAGCAGAGAAAAATATCCCTGCTGCCGTATCACTTCTAAAACCAACATTCACAAATAAAGTTCCCTTTGGGACTGTGAGTACTACCTCCGTGTTCTGCTGGAGTTTCAAGTTCAATAAATATGCATGAATATCCATTTTATGTATGTGTGTTCAACTACTTGTCGACTGTGTCAATTTTGCAGGTTCTTCTAATTCTCCATTGATTGAAATAGAGAATGAGAGTAGGAAAAGAATGATATTAAAGTAGACAAAAGTATGAAAGAAAAGAGGAAGTAAATAAGCAAAGGTTAGTGACAGTATTCAAATGATAAATATAACAGTATATTTATTTCTGTTGGCAACCTTTGAAAGCTTTACCGACAAGAATGCTTAATTGGTCTGATTTCCCGAGTCCGACTTACACATTGGATTTTAATATTACTCTCAATCACCACCAACATGGGACCCAGCATTACTGCATATCGGTCTACCTTACTACACCTCATATAGAGCATACCAAGCAAGCTAGAAGGCACCAAAATGACCGATAGACGAACAAAGAAGGAAAGTAATCAAAAGTGGTAGAAAGTCGTTACCTGCACAGTGCTTCAGAATACGGTCCTCACTATCAGATATGTAACCGATAAGTCCACATCGGTTACACAAACGACTCTCCCTTAGGCTTAGACGCCCGACCCGTGCATTTAAACCATCAAATAATTCAGATATCCATCTGTCCAGCTAGTCTCACCGATAACGTCACTCAATTGATAGTAGAACTTATCATTACTCCCATGCTTTCCTGAGTCCTAACCAAACTCGTCTATCATCCGATCTGCATCATGGTTCGGACGTTGAAAGATGTCAGATTCAGCGGTCCGCGTGGTCCCACAATAGTTAATTCGGATATGGTTCTGAAGGACACCTTCCTGGAAGCAGTTGTTGACTGACTCAATGCGGTATAGGTCGACCAGACTTTCAATGAATGACAAGTAGCTTACTACAGCAAGGACACACATAAAGATAAACCTGAAAATGGTACAGTTCAGATGAAAAATTACGGCATGAAGTCTCATCTACATGGGAGTGGAGCAACGACCCAAGTAGTGTACGACGCTCTCAAGGTATGTGCAGCCTGACTCGAAATCATGACACATTGGTTGAAAGTCGAATGGCTAAGTCAACCCAGTTAGCCTAAATTGCGTAATAAATACTCTAATGAAGTAACCCTGATATGAACGAACATTCACGACGAATGTCTAAGAAAATAAATTGGCACACAGAGTGTAGACACACAAAAGTACGCACAGAAAACTTGATACGATTTGCTTGTATTTCCAAAAATAGTAACCCGGTAAAAAACTACATACTCACCGCCTGCAATATCATAGCTTGATATAGATCTATAAAATTAACTTTGTTACATTTGGCAACTTCTTGACAAGCAGTTGCATAAGTTGAACAGTTCACGAGTTTCCGTGTAAGTGGCAGTCCTATAAATCCAATTATAAATATTCAGTGGATGATTATATCATAACAGACAGGAAAATTGGCTTACATTGGTGGGTAATTATTTGTTGTATTTACCAAACTTTTTATTCCTTTGACTTACTATTGGTTGTTTGAAATACGACCCAAGGTACATTTTCAAGATATAAGTGAAGGTTTTATATCATTTACGTTTTATTCTCATGTATTAGTGAATACATTCACAAAGTCAGTTACATAATAGACTGATCTTTTAATATTCACTGAGTTTGATTAAGGGATAATAACAGATTAATCAGAGTCAGTCAACGTACATACTGAAATATCGATGTTGGCTTTCTTGTCTGGTGTGCAGTTAACCAGGTACTATTGGAGTAATTTCGGTCAACACACTGAAATTGTAGTTACAACATACTTGATGTATCCCCCTGTCATTGTGGCGAAAATAAACTTCAACTAATAAGCGAGATTTCATTGGCTGTCAAGTGATTTTCACTCTTATCTAGATCAGATATTCCTCCTCATATACATGGTATCTAATCATATTTCATGTGTGAATAACAGTATTGTTCCATTACACAAATAGTGAGTCAGTAACCAGTCTTATTAACTATTACCCAGTTTAGGTATCATGGGTATTGATAATCCGAGTGCGACTAGGAAACGCAGTTCGCTTCTCGTAAACACCGACGGCTGAATTACATTAAATCGTATCTTTTTTCACTTCCATCCAATCACTGGTTTTACAGACCACATATCAATTGAATATTGCTTTCCTAACATTGAGCAAAGCCTTAAGTAACAGTATTTTAAGCAAATGCTTACAAGTGAAAAGTATAAGCATACTGTGCGACTGTTATATTCTACTCAAAAAAGTAATGTGGATTAGATCCCGAAGACTAATAGGTGTTTGCTAACTGAAAGTGTCGAGATACAATTAAAAAATTATCTAACACTCCTTCTTTCCTCAATGGTTCTAGTTTATCAAATGATGTAAGCGTCAGAGCCTCATTAAACTCCTCCACATAAGTGAAATAATATTCATCGGGATCATCTGTGATGGTGGTCATATAATTATTTAAAAGCAAAAAATCTCTAGACAAACTGCTCTAGTAACATAATAATCATGATCACAAAGTCAGTCCAATGCTTAGATTTATCATTATAAGTAATAACAAAGAAGTAAGTCACCTCTAGCTATTTCAGTAGCACCCCATTTATTCTCGTCCAAAGGAGGTAAACTAATTAATAAAATACGGTCCGAAGACATATCCAGTTGCTGTTATAAAAGAAAAAACGATCAGTAACATGATAACAATGAATACAGAAATGAATCAAATGTTACACCTTCATTCCCTATATAAACTTCAGGATCAAAATTTGAGGTAAAAGAGTTGGGTAAGTTGAGCATTGGGTAAATGGATAATAAGTTAACTAGTTCACTAGTTACTAGCCGGTCCTAAGCCCCGATAATCAGAAAAGGTTAGGCACAGGGCTGGAAACCCTACCCAGGAAAACCAATACAATCCATAAACAAACTTCAAAGCTCAAAGAAAATATCAAAAATAAAATCAAACTTATTCCTCGCTGGAATCAGAGAGACAAAAAGATGCCGGTTGCTGAAAGCTTTCGAAAAGCCAATTCCACAATGTGTCTCCTCTTAAATCGATGAAAGCAAAAGTAAGCATAGGGACATGGAGTGTCCACACAATGTTTGGACCTGGCTGACAAGGCTGCCCAGGTTGCAAAAGGGATGAGAAGATATAGCACAGAAATGCTAAGAATCTGCCAAAGTAGATGCAATCGAAGTAGACTCTCCAAACTCTTGACTCGACAGTCAATAATCTATTCCGATATTGTCACCCAGACGACAACCACAACCACACTGAGTTTCACAGTGGCTATCATGATGTCTCTTACTCAAGAGCATCGAAGGCTCTCTCTCGTGCAGTGGGAACCAATCTCCTCCTCCACGATCAGGATGATTACAGCAAGATTCCACTCTTCGAAAAGAAGGAAAGTCACAATCATACAATGCTATGCTACGCACCTACAAATAATGCAGATGAAGAGAAGAAGGAGGAATTCTACAGACAACTGCAATCAGTACTCGACAAGACCCCACCCCAGTTGGTGATGGTGACATCGAAATTCTAATGGGTGGAGTGACATGAATGCCAGCCAAACTGGAAGCGGACAAAACAGGAAGAGAACGAACTCATCATGGGTCGAAAGCACTCGGTGAAATGATGAACGAGAATGGAGAACTGTTTGCAGAATTCTGCACATTCAACGATTCGGTAATTGGAGTGAGGCAGTGTGTACAAACACAAGGATATTCACAAAGCGACATGGATTTCACCAGATGGACACACTAAAAGTCAGATCGACTTCATCTCAATGTGAAGAAAGTGGAGACGCAGCCTACTAGACACAAGATCAGATGAAGAAGGGGAGCAGATGTATGTGGTTCACACCACTCACTATCTAGTGCAAACAATCTACCTTCCAAATCAAGTTGAAAGCCTTCAATTCAAGGAAGTTGGTGATAGACCACAGTTCAAGTTGTTGAACACCCGGAACAGAAACTGAACTGAAGGACGAAACTACAAAGGATATCTTCGCGTCAGTCAGTCATCAGGTCAACATCAGGAGACATTGAGCAACATCCCTGAAGAAACCTGAGAGGAAGAACACTGGAACTCCTTGAAAGAGGTGTGGGAAGAAACCTGCATAACTGTATTAGGAAGGGTGAAGAAGAGGCAAGATAAGGAATGGATCTCAACGGATCTCCACATGGAAGCTGATAGAGCAGGCAGAGGAAGATAGTGAAGCAGAAGATGAACCAGTGCAGTGTAGTGCAGTGCACTTCAGGGATGAACAACGAGAAGAGGAACTGAACACAACCTATAGAACACTACACTGGACAAAGAAGTGAAGAAGAGTGTGTGGAAAGACAAAAGACACTTCTACGACACACTGGCAAGTGAAGCAGAACAGGCTGCTGGTAGGAGAGACTGAAACATTATATCAAATAATCAGATTACTATCTGGGAGGGAAGAGATCAACACAGATGAAACCAATGAAAGATAGTGGAGGAATCTTAGTTACCACCAAAGAGGAGAAACAAAGGAAACGATGGGCTGACCACTTCAAAAAATTTTCAATCGACCACCACTGCCACCGCCACCACCACCACCACCACTACCTGCAACTCGTCCACAAACACCACCAGCAGTCCAGCCACAGAACTATCAGTGAACACAAGCTCTCCGACAAAAGCCGAAGTGAAGTCCTCAACGCCAGAAGATTGCTGAAATCCGAGAAAGCACCAGGACCAGATGGAATTCCGCCAGAAACACTGAAAACAGACGCAGAGACAACAGCCGACATGCTCACACCACTGTTGCAGAAGGTTTGGAAGCAAGGAAGGAAAGGTGCCTGCTGGTTGATTGGAAGAAGGGCTACCTTATCAGTGGACTCCCAAAGAGGGGCGACCTAAGTCCTTGCAAGAACTGGCGCGGAATCATGCTCCACCCCTGTCCACCTCAAACAAAATATTAAGCCGCATCATCCTGCAGAGACTAAAACATGTGCTGGATTCAAAATTGAGACCGGAACAGGATGGCTGGCTGAATTCAGGAAGTACAAATCATGTGCGGATCAAATTGCAACGCAACGCAACGCTACACTACGCATCATCAAAGAACAGAGTATAGAATGCCAGTCAACTCTTTACCTTACCTCAACTTCATCGATTTTGAAAAGGCCTTCGACAGCGTCAACCGAGAAGTAATTTGGCAGGCAGCTGCTCCAACACTACGGTTTTAGTGTCACAAATTGTCAATAACCTCACTGAACTGCAGCCATATGCTATGCTATATGATGCTGCTACATGCCAAGTGATTCACAATGGAAAGCTCAGTGACGCCTTTGAAGTGAAGACAAGAGTAAAACAAGGTTGCCTACTGTCATCGATCATCTTCCTGATTGTGGTCGACTGGATCATACAGCAAACCGTGAGGAGCTGTGAGAAGATGGGCATACGCTGACTGGACCGATGAAAAGACCCCAAAAGGAGATTTGGATTTCGCCGCCGCCGCCGCCACCACACCACCACCACCGATGATGATGATGATGATGATCATTTATGTCTGATGTCTTGTCGCACAAACTTGAAGATCTACAGATCTCGAAAACTAACAAGTTGGCGGAAGAGGCGAGGCAGGGCAGCGAAGACGGGACTTCCTTCAGGTGAGCGTAGAGAAGACAGAGGTGATGAAGATACTCAAACAACAACAGCATCAACAGCAAGCATCAATCATCATCAATGGGAGAAACCTAAAGGAAGTTATTACTTTCACCTACCTAGGCAAGGGAGCATCGTTTCAACTACAGGTGGCGGCACAGAAAAGGATGTCTAAACCAGGAACGGGAAGACAGCAAGACACACCTTCATTAGTCTGAAATCAGTGTGGCGATCTACTCCACTCCACTCAACTGCACTGCACTGCACTCACCATAAAGCGTGAACAAGATCAGGATTTTCAACACCAATTCAGTCAAGGAAGTCAGTGATTCTATATGGTTCAGAAACTTGGCGCGTCACGAAAAGCACTTCCAACAAACTACAGACAGACATTCATCAACAGCTGCCACCTACGCTCACTCGATACTGACACTGAAGATGGCCACAAAGAATAAGAATAAGCAACAAGGAACTCTGGCTGGCTGGCAACGAACCAACCAAGAACCTGTCACCCAACAAATATGCAGAAGAAGGTGGAGATGGATTGTATTGGGAATATACTGAGAGGACGAATTGGAGACATTACGCGTCAGGTCGTCGAGTGGAATCCAAAGGGGAAACGATGAGTTGGGCATCGGAGGCGAGGGTGACATGGAGGAGATGGTGTGTGGAAGAAATGAAAGCTTGTGGGCAACGGTGGAACCAGGTTGAGAAGACTTCAGAGAACAGAGTGCAGTGGAGACGTGCAACTGAAGCCTTATGTTCCACTAGGAGCCCAAAGGACAAATAACTATAATATAAGATTTTCAATTGAAATATATTTGTAAAATCCGAGCGGTGGAGAAATAAATTTTACAAACACATTTCAATCTGTGTAGTACATTAAAAACTGAACTGGAGTATTCTCATACTAACTCTTCCACTTGACATAGCGCACAAAGATGTAATATTGTTAACTGCATTACGTCTCGAGCAAGGCTAATTGCCCGTAACCATGTCAAAGTAGTCACACTACTCATAAACTTCACTTTCATTGTCCAAGAGCGCTTAATTCTTTCATTTTAAATAGTAATAAAATTTTTCATATATCTGGAATATGTTATGAATCATCCCTGTTAGGTGTGTCAGGTATTAATTCGATGACCAAATCTTCAGTAATCAGTGTCTCCCTCTAACTACCTATACTGGATTTCGAACTGTTACCCTACAGTGTAACTGAGTCAGTGCATGCAGAGCAATAGCTGAATTCTCAAAATTACTCATCTTCGTAGGGTCTGATATTTTATATTTCACTAATTTTTTTTATGCAACGCCATTCTCATTGACTTAGATTGGCGGCTTCAACCTGCTTCTTTGAGCTTACAATGGCTATATGGTGTTTGGTAGATTAGGTTCTCTTATTGGAGTAAATCTACTACATCTTTTAGCCTATAAATTTCGCTCTGAGTGAGTTTGTGGTTTCAAATACCACCCTAACCCCAGAATAGTCAACAGTCCTACGTAGAATGTCCTTTGTCCCCTCTTTGTATGGCAACACTACAGAGGATTGAATTCCCATTTAGGCATATTTCAATATTAATAAACTAGGGAGGGTGGTTATCAATGAGTAACGTCTTTTCAGTGTATTTAAGTCCCTCATTTAGGTTTTCTGATTTACTAGTCAGACTTCTAGCTTGATTGCTTAAGCATTTTAAGAAGCCTACCTTGACAGATATATGATGAGACGATGTGAACTCCAAGTATTCATCATGCAGTAAGTAATACCACATCCCCGTATGCTATATTAAATAAGCGATCTAATATAGAATTTTATTCTACCACAATGCCCAAGTTCTATTCCCACATCACTGCCAATTTATCGATCAAAAATATCCAAAAGTCTATAAACAGCTAAAGGAAAATACTCCTGTAAAATATGAATAGCTAGAAACCACTCAGGGTAGTATGTAGGTTTTGTTAGTTAGATCAGTGATAGAAACACTGGAAGATCGTTTCGCTCATCAGCAATATTCCCGACCAGTCGTTGGAA